AACTATTTCACTCCCCCAACTCCAGAGTCCCTTCATGGTTGCTTGAGCTCTGTCTCACAGCAATCATCTAATGAGTTTTTATTCTAACTACCGCTGAAATTTTATTCCAGGTAATAATAGTAGCCAAAATAAGTGTAGGATACAAGCTATCACCCTTCAGCTGATAGAGAGAACTACAGTCTTTGTTGTTTCACCTCTCCTTTTTGGGAGATTGTAGCTAACATTAGTTCACAGCTTAGCTCTGGTGAGGAATAAAAGTTAGGAAACATCTATTAATACTCTGAGCTGCTTACCTTGATGCCCACTCAGAAACTGAGTGTTTTATAGCTGTAGCAGTTCTGCACAAAAGATGGGTAATCTAGCAATAATAGCAATGTCTGTGGTAATGAAAATAAGGAAACCTGCAGCAGTACAGTGGATCTCAAATTTCAGCATGCATGAAACTCACTTGAAATAATATTCGAAAGATCCCTGGGTTGTGCCTCCAGGTTCAGTAAGGCCTTTGCTTACTGGAATTTGCTTCTCTAACAAGTGCAAAGTTGTCATTTCTATTGCTGCTATTGTGCAGGTCAGGTTTAGAACAGCACATGGACAAAAAAAAAAAGAAAAAAAATCCACAAGTTATTCCACACTGACTTAAATAACAAAGGTAAATTATTCCCTCCTATAAATTATAGTTTAGAAGTTGGAGGGCTGTAGCTGTAGCACAATTGTGTTGTCAACTACCAGATTCTTTCCAAGTAAATGACCTCCTTTTGAATATTAAAAATGTGGATGTACTTATTAATAGTTATCACTCCTCAGATTTATCTTTCACCATTTCTACATAACACTTTTAGCCTTATTAGGCCTCAAATAATGTTAATTTCTGTCGCTCTCTTACTTTCACGATAGCTGCCTATCATCTCTACTTGAAACAATCATTTTTCTACCTACACATCATTTCCTTGTCAGAAAATAACTCCCAGTTATCAGAAACTCCTATGGGCTAAGAAGAGACTGGAAAATAAAACAGACATGGACCTTCCTTAAAAGGCTTTAAAATCCATTTTAGGCACTTCCTAATAAGTTTTTTGTCATCATCCCCCAAAGTAATTAAGGTGGCCTTGCTATTCCTCTCCTTATTACACAATATACCACATTAGTTATGCATATATTATAAACAATATATATATATATATATATATATATATATATATAAAGATGTGTAAAGTAGCATCAATATAACAGCAAGAGATAAGAACAGACTTGTGGCGATGTGGCTATAAAAGTTATTAGTCTTGGCCCTCCCTGGTGGCGCAGCGGGTTAAAGCACAGCACTGAGAATCTAAAGCCGCTTCCACATGAGCTCGATTCCCGCCTGCCCCGGAGGAGACCACATGGCGTGGCAGACCTCTCCTGACCCGCCCGCTGCTCCCCTCAGCAGTGTACTTCGTTGATCTGCCTGTTCTGTTCCCCACTCTGTCTCTGGTGAAGCCTCTCACCGCCCCTGAGCCTCTGGCCTGTACCCCAGTTCTGTATGCACAAATAAATAAATCTTAAAAAAAGAAAAAAAGTTATTAGTCTTTGTAAGTTGGATCATAATCTACTCAATTGATCTTATTAGGATACTCTTCTTTTGAAATATAAAGCACACAGAAAGCAAAAAAATACTATAAAAGCAATCATATTATGCTTTCTTAAAATCAGGTCTTAAAACAGCTGATGGTATCCTGAGACATTAATAACTTTCTAAAGTATCATTTTTTTAATAATACTTTTGGTATAGTTAACTGTACTAGCTATTATTTTTCCATGGAAGCAGAAATAAATAAATAAATAAATAAATAAATAAAGACTTGAGGGCCTATACTGGAAATGTCTTCAGCTCAATAAATTCTCTGACAGGTACAAAATTGATTTATAAATTTATAGAAGTCATTTGGCTTACTGATGATGTTCTTCTCCCATCCAGGATGATACAGCTCTGTCCAAGAAAAAACTGGCTAGAACACTTTTTTCCTGCCTGATTTACCTGTAATCCTTTATGTTCTACTTAATGCTTATTTATCAATGTCCTCTTAAGAACAGAGACCAAGTATGCACATTGCAAAGCAAATTTAAAATAAAACTTGAAAAGTTTTTGGGAAACCGGCAGTCAAGGAGAAACAGTATCATATACTCACTGGACATTGCCTATAAGTTTTGCCTTTTGCCCTTCCCTTCTCTCAAATCAGTAACTGAGGAATTGACTAGCTAAGATGGTTTTCAATGTGTGCATTTTAATATGTTCTATAGACATTAATGATAAGTATTTTGCTCTTAGTGATTTGGGCATGGACCAAGACTTCAACACAAAAGAGTGGGTCTTACTCTATAGGGGAAAAAATAACCAAAGGACACTAGTTGTAGCTGAATCAGGAAAGAATTTATTAGAAAGACTCATACAGGAAAGAGTTAGTGAAGAAAGGAAGGTTTTTTTTAACTATTATATTTGTTTTTAGACAGCCTTGTTCATTTATTCACAATATAAGATTTCTCCCCTCAGGGGCTGGCATCATAGTTTTCTCACCACAAGTGTCCACAGTCCTCCACCAAACTCTCAATCACCCCTTTCCATTTTCAACTCTAACTCTCCCCCTCCTCTGCCCTTCTTCTCTGCTCCTGAGTGTCTCTGATCTACAGTCTGCTTTCAAGTTGGTCCTTATCTGATCTTTTGTTTAGTTTTTCTAGATACCACATGCAAGTGAGACCATCTATAAGAAACATAGAGTAACTCAGGCATTTTTTTGCCTTCTGCCACTGGCCTCTGAGGCCACCACCTACAATTTTGTTTTCCTCCCAGATTTCATTACCCACACATGCTATTTTTTTATTGTAAAAAAACACTTCAGTGTTGGGTCCCAGCTGGGATGAGCCTCCCCAACCACCCCCGGAGCTTAAGCACAAGATCATAATAGGAAGAAGACATCTTGCCACCTGTGTGAGTGGCTTAACCTTTGGGCAACTGATTAATATCCACCCTGATTGCAGTAGCACATGTGAGGAAGATTTCCTCCTGCCCCTAGGCCAACATCCTGGGATTAAGGGTATAAAAGGGAGGCTAGAAAGGATAAGAGGGGAGAGAGAATGTTTTGCTGCAACCATCTACGTGTGCTGACTCTTCAACCTCGACATCCCCCCCGCGCAGACTCGTATTCCTGCCGTGCGGGCGCAGCAACTGGAGGTCCCACCGAGATATGCGTAAGGGGGAACAATGGACGGGGTCGTCCTGGACCGGTAAGGACGTATTGGGGTAGACATGGGATCCACAAACAGTAAAGAGGAATTAA